CTAGTTTTTTTCATATGGTTGATTACTGGCATGTTGATTTCCCATTTTTGAGCCATGTTTTCAACTTTCTTCATCATTTTCATATAGCAATCTCGTCATATGTTAACATTGTCGTCTATGGAAATTCAATTATTGGTATGAGCCCTATATACTTCCAAATGGGAAAAGATGGCCGCGGTGTTGCGTTCTGGTCTCCAGAAAGCGCCATCTATTGAAATCCAGTTTTGTCAAGAGAACCTCAGACATCACGGTACAAAATAACAACTTTATCGGGAAACCTGAGCGAAATGTAAAATTCTTTACCATTTTGGTGGGCTAAGCATCTCTCTGGCGACCCCTCACTGAATATCTGTGTGTTATTTCTCATAATAGTGTGTGTCGTGCATTGCAATTTTCACAAAAATATGGCGACAGGGTCGCTTTGTCCATGAGATTGTGTCTAAAACAATATTTCGGTAATATAAAAAGTCACAATTATTGCCGCTTCAAGCGATTTAGATCGAAAGACCACGGGCAATAAAACTGTGAAACGACTCGGAGGGAATGGAACTGTTTGAAATGAACAAACTTCCAATGTTTATAATAATTGTTATACATGATGTACCATTTCTATGCTGACTGAATGCTGAATCAGTTTTCAGGTTTGAATACCCTTGATTAGATTGCTGTTGGTTCAGCCCCTAAGTTCAAAGGGAAAACAGTGTTGATGTCGATGAGGAAGTTGTTTCGGGTACAAACCTAGTGTCATGTTTGCTCCATGCGGGCAGGCTTTCTCACATTACATTGCATATCTAAACCTTAAGCGTGGAAAATGTAACACCCACGCACCTACTAAATTAGACAAATAACCAAATTTATGCATAAAGTGTGATGAGACGCGACCGCAGGTGTAAATTGGCATCGATAACAGGGGTTAAAAGAGAGGGATCGGGGGGTTTGGGGGTCGGGGGATTTTGATGTGGAGCGATGATGTTGATAGATGTTGGCAATTAAAGACTCTACATGTAATTATACACAACTGACTGTGCGTGAATGACTTTGGTGTTCCGTCTCAAGATCTAATGGTACCCTCATACTAGAAGCGAGTATTTCCTGATATTCCCTTGAATGGTCAGAGCGTGTTCTTTTACTTATTTCACACTAGTAAAACATGTGTAAGGAGGACCCCTTTTGTGACCATTCAGAGTTGTTTGACACCATTGTTACAGACATCGAGTTACAAAAATGGCCACATCCATATGTTGAAATCCACGCCAAATGTTTGCAAAACCACGCCGAAAATATACAAAGTTACGGGAAACATAGATATTTAGTTTGGTTCAACTCTTCAGCCGTTTTTGGCTCTGGAAATTTCTTCGGTTGTCAAATGTACATGAGC